GCCTAAAAAGCAAGTACTGTCCAAACCCAGTCATAGATTTATTCATAGATCCAGTCAAAGATGTATTTTAGTCATTTCTGGTTTAAATTGAGATCCCTTCCCTTTATAACTCTCTTATCCTCCGCCATTCCCAAGTCAAGGGTCGTATATACTGACTCAATAGCATATCTTGAAAACTAGAGCCAATCAACAATTTTAAGCATCATTTTCGTTCTCAGTGACCCAGAATTAGTAAAGTTTGACTACATTTATTCAGAAGCATTTTGGCTGTAGAGCAGTGTTATAGAACATACAACCAGTTTGAGGTTTTTGCCCTGCTTTTTGATGATCTGTCCTGAGGTTGGCACTCATGGTCGTGAGCCACTCCAGACAGTGTGATATTTGGTGTAGTCTTGGCAGGATCCACAGGCCACAGATCAATTGAATTAATAGATCATAATCCAGCATAGATTTTTAGAGTTCCATTGAATCTCTCCACCAGACCATTTGTCTCTGGGTGACGGGACAGCTTTTAGTTGTTTCAGCCCACACAACTTCCATAACTCACTAAAAAACTGAGACATGAAATTTGACTTCCTGTAAGATAAAATCTCTTTAGGGAAACCCACTCTGCTAAAATTAGTGAAAAGGACTTTTGCCATAGAATCAGTCTCTGTTCATTAGAGCAACTGCTTCAGGATATTGAATGGCAAAATCCACTACCACCAGGATATATTTCTTCCCCCTTTGGGTAGAACAATGGCATAGGGCCCATAATGTCCACTGCTATCCTGTATCACAGGCAAAGGATTTAGGAGAACTTTCTGTGGCCCTGCAGGTCTTTTCCTTTTGGCATAATTCACAAGACCTGCAATAATTTTTCACATCATTCTATATCCTTTGCCAATAGAAATTTTTCTTTAATCTCTCATAGGTTCTCTGTGCCCCCAAGTGACTAGCAAAAGGACAATCATATGCTAGCAACAATGATTCCTCACAATGCTGGGCAGTCACAAACAACTGCTTTTGGGGTTTTCCATGGCTCTTGGTCCCAAAGGGACCAGTCACTTACCCTAGGTCATTTCTACTCGGATCTCCTGTGGCCAATCCTGTAATAAATTAACTAAAGATTTATTAACTAAGAAAAGAAATAAGAGTTATTTACTAGGTTAAAATAGAAAACATGCACACATGAGTTAGTCTCAGATTTAAGAAGGCAATATACACTTCTATAATAAACTGCTCTTTAGGGCTGATCCATGCCAAGCAGCATGGGGATCTCTTACTTATGTTTAGGAATCTCTGCCCCTCAAGAGTCCAGAGAGCATAAAGAGATGGAGTTTCTCTTTGTCAGTGATTTTTATCCCATTCAACTCAGAATCCAAGCTGATGGGATGAGTTCATGCGTAGGTCTCGCCTTCCTGGAGGGAGTTGGGAATGCAATCAACAAGATTTCTGTCCTTGGATGCTACACAATGCCTCATTTGCCTTCAGTGGGACATCTTGTGTGCAGGACGAGCATTTTAATTAATGCTTCTTTTCCTCTGCCATACAGGAGTTGGCTTCAGCCCCTCCCACACCTGGAAACAGACTAATTTCTTCTGCTGCAGTGGAACTGGAGGGTCCTTCCCCTCCCCACTTAGCAGTTTCTGGATCTTTACCATTTCTTACTGGGATCCCAGCACAATACTTGTTTTTACTACAGGTTAAAACATTAACAGGCTTAGTCATATGCAAAATATCATTGCCTACCAGCATTTCCACAGGTATACTGTTTAGCACCCCCACTTTCAGGTCACGCTCTAAACCTTCTGAATTTCAAATGAACCTTAGCCAAAGGCCTAAGAATTTTGTGTTTCCCCACTGCCAGAAGCTCTACTTTTGGTGTATACCTTCTTCCTTATGTGCATGTACTTTTATAAAATAAAATAACCAACAAGTTACAGTTATAGTTATAAGAAGGGTAGAAGAGGAAAGATGCTGTATAGGGTGTCTCAATTGAAGGGTCTTCAGGGGACTTTTTTTTTGCTTACTTTTGTGCATGTGATAGCATTCTGTGTACCATCAATGTCACGGATTCCCCTATATGCTCAGTCACTTTCCTCTGTTTGTGTGGTTCTTTCATTCAGCAAAAGGACAGAAAACCATTATAAGAAAATGTATTAAAACCTTATTTTAAATAATTTTTGAAATAGCTTAGTTTTCAAGAAAAATATCGCTTTAATGTACCGTAAAATTGAAATGTTAAGAGAAAATGGTTATATCTGCAAAAAACAAAGGGCAACAGCTCAATACAGAAATGTGACAGGCTGATAAAACCCTGTAGTTAAGATTGCCCTGCTCTCCAAATCTGAGCTGACCTTGGAGCAGAAAATTCCAAACTTAAGCCCCAGTCTGGAAGTCAGTGGGACTCTGAGTGGACTCAAGGGTCTGCATGTGTGGAAGTACTCGCAAGATTGGGGCTATAGAGACTGAGGGTGGAGGGTGATAGTATAGATTTGTGTATAATACACAATTTTAAAAAAACCCAGAAACTTCAATGACAGTATAATAGAGCATATAGTACATGTAATTAATTTTGAGTACTTCATACAAATTTTACTGCACATATAAAATCACTGGTGTAAAATATAATTTTCAGAGGAAAATACATTGACTGCCTCTGTCTTCTTTTCAGATGGGCACCTTTAAAGTACATGATGGTGAATATTTTTTAGAACCTTTGATGAAGGCAGATGGAGATGAACACGAAGATGATCATAACAAACCACATCTTATATACAGACATGAAGATTTAAAAAATGTCATTTATCAGAACTCCCAGAAACCTTGTGAAGTTTCAGGTATAGTTATACTTTAAATTCTGATGTCGATGTCTATGTCTGTTCACTATGGTTTTTAGTGTTTTAACAAATTGTATGTTTAAAAAATGTTTTTCCTTAGTAGAATTAATGACTATCACTGTCATTGAGACCTTAGAATGTATTTTATTTATTCGTTTCACAAAGATCTAACAAACATTGGTGAAAAACGAATGTCCCACTTTAAATGTAAGAATAAATTAGCTTGCAAAAATATGCATCAGTCCTTCAAACACTTATGCACATGTTTTATTTTTCACAATGATTGTTCCATAGATTAAATTTTTGCAGCATCAGGGACATATTTTCAGCTTTTGTGTAGATTCACAAAATAAATGAAATTTAGTGCAAATAATCTAAAAAGTATACATTAAATCTTCCTGTCTTATAATATACTGTATTATCTAATATTTACTATTAGTGTAGGTACTATTGTTGTTCTCATTATATACATTTTTAAAATATTTTATATTCGTATTACATTAATATATTAAGATTGAGAAACAGAAAAAGGGTTACCTGAGGAGCATAGAATTAGGATATGTCACAACACATTGGCAGTAATTTTCAAAGCTTCACAGTTTAGGAGATGATTCACTTGAATATGAAAGGAAAAAAAGCACTACTAATAGCATAAGGACAAATAATGGATGTAGCACAGTGCTTTAAAACAGTTATATTTTCATACAATCAAAAGACTAGAAGGGACCTTGAGAGGTCTTCTAGTCCAGTTCCATGCACTCAAGGCAGGACTAAGTATTATCGACACCATCCTGACAGGTGTTTGTCTAACCTGATCTTAAAAATCCCCAATGATGGAGAGTCCACAATCTCCTTAGGCAGTTTATTCCAGGACTTAACCTCCCTGACAATTAGGAAGTTTTTCATAATGGCCAACCTAGACCACCCTTGCTGCAATTTCAGCCCATTGCTTCTTATCCTATCCTCAGAGATTAAAGACAATTTCCTTCCCTCTTCCTTGCAACAATCTTTTATGTACTTGAAAACTGCTATCATGTCCCTCCCCAGTCTTCTTTTCTCCAGACTAAACAAACCCATTTTTTCAATCTTCTGTCATAGATCATGTTTTCTAGACCTTTAATTATTTTTGTTGCTCTTCTGTGGACTTGCTCCAGTTTGCCCACATATTCCCTGAAATGTGGAGCCCAGAACTGGACACAATCACTCCAGTTGAGGCCTAATCAGCATGGAGTGGAGTAGAGCAGAGGAATTACTTCTTGTGTCTTGCTTACAACATCCCTGCTAATACAGCCCAGAATATTTGATTATTTTTTTTGCAACAGTGTTACACTGTTGACTCATATTTTGCTTGTGATCCACTATGAACCCTCTGCATTTCTGCAGTACGCCTTCCTAGGCAGTCATTTCCCATTTTGTATGTGTGCCACTGATTGTTCTTTCCTAAGTGGAATACTTTGCCTTTGTACTTATTGAATTTCATCCTGTTTGCTTCAGACCATTTCTCCAGTTTGTCCAGATCATTTTGAATTTCAATCCTATCCTCCAAAGCACTTGCAACCACTCCCAGCTTGGTATCATCCACAAACTTTATAAGTGTACTCTCTATGCTATAATCTAAATCATTGATAAGGATATTAAGCAGAACCGGACCAGAACTGATCCCTGTGGGACCCCACTTGATATGCCTTTCCAGCTTGACTGTGAACCACTGATAACTACTCTCCAGGAATGCTTTTCCAACCAGTTATGCACCCACCTTAAAGTAGCCCCACCTAGGTTGTATTTCCCTAGTTTGTTTATGAGAAGGTCATGCAAAACAGTATCAAAAGCCTTACTAAAGTCAAGATATACCACATCTACTGCTTCCCCTCTACCCTGCCAAAGAAAGCTATCAGGTTGGTTTGACACTATTTGTTCTTGACAAATCCATGCTGACTGTTACTTATCACTAAGGCCCTACCAAAATCATGGTCCATTTCGGTCAGTTTCACAGTCATCAGATTTTAAAAATCATTAATTTCATGATTTCAGCTATTTAAATCTGAAATTTCACGGTGTTGTAATTCTAGGGATCCTGACCTAAAAAGGAGTTGTGGGGGTGGGGGTCACAAGGTTACTGTAGGGTGGGTTGTGGTACTTCTACCCTTACTTCTGCACTGCTGCTGCCAGCGGTGCTGCCTTCAGAGCTGGGTAGCTGGAGAGCAATGACTGCTGTCTGGGAACCCATTTCTGAAGGCAGAGCCACCGCCAGCAACAGTGCAGAAGTGAGGGTGGCATGGTATGGTATTGCCACCCTTACTTCTGTGCTGCTGCTGGTGGGGCGCTGCCTTCAGAGCTGGGCACCTGGCCAACCGCCACCACTCTCCAGCCATTCAGCTCTGAGGGCAGCACAGAAGTAAGGGTGGCAATACTGCAACCCCCCTTAAATAACCTTGCAACCCCCCTGTAACTCCCTTTTGGGTCAGGACCCCCAATTTGAGAAATGCTGGTCTCCTCTGTGAAATCTGGTCAGATTTCACAGTCCGTGACGCATTTTTCATGTTTTCATGGCCGTGAATTTAGTAGGGCCCTACTTATAACCTTATCTCTTCTAGGTGTCTGCAAATTGATTGCTTAAGTATTTGCTCCATTATCTTTTTGGGTACTGAAGTTAAGCTGACTGGTCTGTAATTCCCTGAGTTGTGCTTTTAGAATCATAGAGTCATAGACTTTAAGGTCAGAAGGGACCATTATGATTGTCTAGTTTGACCTCCTGCACAACACAGGCCGCAGAATCTCACTCACCCACTCCCACAACAAACCCCTAACCTATGTCTGAGCTATTGAAGTCCTCAAATCATGGTTTAAAGACTTCAAGGTGCAGAGAATCCTCCAGCAAGTGACCCGTGCCCAACCCCCCCAGGGCCTCTGCCAATCTGCCTTAGAGGAAAATTCCTTCACAACCCCAAGTACACCCTTACTCCAATATAATGCTGTCCTCGGGAGCCAAAAAATCTTACCGCTGAAACCGCTATATATCGAACTTGCTTTGATCCGCCGGAGCGCGCAGCCCCGCCCCCCTGGAGCGCTGCTTTACC